CCCCCCCCCCCCCCCTCCGCTCGCCAGCAATATTTTGGGAAAAAAATAAAATTCGAGCAAGGGATTATTAAAAAAAAAATAACTGACACAGCAAAACATTTTGAAAAAAATCGTGCACGTTGAAAATGGACCCCCCCCCCATCACTTTTCTAATAGTCCGCCCCTAAGCCTTTGACCATTGCTAGTTTATTATCGGCAATATTTATAAATAAAAAGTAAACATATCATTTATTAGCTGCAAGCCTAATGTGCCTGCTCCTCCAACCTCGTTCCCACGCTCTTTCCTCAACAAAAGGGAAGAGCCTGGGAACGAGGTTGCTGCTCCTCAAGTAAATACCCCATTAATATATTTTTCTTCCAAATAATTGGCTGCTTGGACCAACCTCAAAAAACAAATGATTATTGAATTTGTATTTCTCAAAAGTGAAGCAGTGACAGTTATAAAATTAGGTTCTATTTATTGCTTTCTATATTGGCCTGCCCGTTTAATTAAACAAAGCCAGAACGCTAGGCGTTGAACCGTTCAAAATGATGTTACACGCATGCGTGACCCACACTCAGCACAATATCAAATTTATGTGTATAACACATTCCAACTTCAGGGACTGCGGAGTTGGGAGAAGGGGGGGGGGGTGCTGAAACCCTGCCCCCACAATAATTCTCAGAATTACACCATGGCACTACCACTGGGAAGCTTAATAAGGGCAGCTATTGTACGATGGGTACAAGCGTACCTGTGTTATGTTCAATATAACGTTATAATAATAACAGGTGTTATATTGTGAAGGTTTTTGCCTGGTATCTGGCGGAACACAGGTCAGTAGTATGTGTCTTTAATTTCTTGTGACTAGGTTTAAATTTCCTGCAAAATGAAAATGTCAGAACTGAAATACCCTCGCTGGTTCTTCACCTGGCATGGTATTATCGAAGTGCTTTACTTAAAGTGCGAACTTTGCCTCAAATCTGTACGTAGAAGAAATATCATCAAAAGCTGTTTCATTCCTCACAACAACGATTTTCAGTCAATAAAACGTGGTCTGATCCAAAAATTTTAATATTCTGCTCTAATATATGTCAAATGGAAGTGACCACACATGCATGCATATTGATGAACGCATACACCTCGCTCAGTAATGCATTAGAAATGTAATATTAACCGAAATAATCGCACTACTAGCATGCCTGACCACCGTATGATGACATAAATTGCAGATCTAGTCTTGAAAATTCAAACAATACAGTACCCATTTGTTTCTTTGTTAAACTCCCAGATCCAGAACTCTACAAAACGTCTTTCCCGAAAAATCTTCTCAACTTTGTAAATTTTTATAACAATGCTTAGCATAATAATATACTCGGAGATGGATAATGCTTTTTACGCAATTTGATTGGTTGCCCAGTTCCGGAAGTAGTTGCACTATTCAATTCCAAACAAAAACAAAATGGAGTCCCGTTCCGTTCCGGTTACACAAACAAGCAAATTGTTGTAGTTCTAAAATAACTTAACGAAGCTTTCCAAACACGAAGAAAGCCACAAAGTTTTGTTTAAAGTTATTTTTAATGAATAAAGTTACTAAAAGCTTGTAAATATTAAAGTTATTTCTAATGAGTAATGAATAAAGTTACTAAAAGCTTGTAAATAGTAAAGCTATTTCTAATGAATAAAAGTATACTAAAAGCTGTTTTGTTTTGTAAGCTAAATACTGTTTTGTTTACAGCAAATATTACAGGAAGCTGAAATACAAATTTTTAAAATTTATTAAAAAGTTTCGTTGTTTTTGGGTCTTATTCAATGTTGTTTCGGATATAGGCTAAAACAATTATTCAGCTCAATCTCGGTGAATAGTGCAAGGAATTCACCTTGAATAAAAATAAAAATAAATATCATCAAAAACTGTCAACACTTTGCGTTTCGGTGAATATCCTTGCACTATTCACCGACACTCAGTCTCAGACCGATAATTTTCTCAATGCTAAAATATACAGTATGAAGTAACGACTCAGCGGTTGTGGCTCTACAGAGTGTCTCAAAAAAACCGCTACCCTTGGAAATTCACCATTGTTCTAATTTGAATGCCTGAGTGCTATCTTGAACTCATGGGTAATTTAAGACAATAAATACTCTTTGCTCTGTGCTCAGTTGAGCCATTTGCTTGACATTCACTAATACGTAATTGAACGATTTTCGTGCAGTTATACTTTTGAATGAACTATTTTCAATTCCCAGGATAAAAAATTTCGCTTTTCAAGGATATTTTAATTCCGAAGATCTTTAATATATGCATCCTGTGAAAAAGTTTACGCATTCATGGCTTCAACAAGGTTCAGGCATTCAAATTAGAACAATGGTGAATTTCTAAGGGTAGCGGTTTTTTTGAGACACCCTGTATACAGGGTGTATAAAAAAAGGAGACCTTTAGAAATCAATCATATTGTTAAAATTTGAAAGCCTTTTCAATTGCACATATGCTGAATCGTAGTGCGTGAAATATTGATAGGGTGCATATATTAGAAAAAGGAGACCCTTAGAAATTAAAATAACGTTTAAACACAAGATTGTCTGCTCCTGAGAACATCGGCCATGCATACTGTACGTAGATCGCATGTTACGCACTCGTGGGCTTAGCAAAGTGCTCCAGGATTCAAATTATAACAATGGTTGATTTCTAAAGGTCTCCTTTTTCTAATATATGCACTCATCAATATTTCACGCACCACGGTTCAGCATATGTGCAATTGAAAAGGCATTCAAATTTTTACAATATGGTTGATTTCTAAAGGTCTCCTTTTTTTTATGCACCCTGTAGTCCTTTCTCCCATGCAGAGTAAATTCTCCTCTTCGGCTGTGATTTCCTTGCGCTCCTCTTTCTTGCATGCTACCGCGATGCCACGTTTTGTAACATGCTTCATCTCTGCATCTAATGTCTTACAAAATAAAACCTCATGCAAACAAAATCAAGAATTAGCATTCTACAACATCAGGTCCATTCTAGTTAGCCCATCCACAACACTGTAACATTTATTCAAAGCCGCCTGTTGATTAATACGAAATTCAGAAATGATCGAATCCAAAGCTACTTACGAAATTCGATCTCCTTTTGCCAAAATACTGACGCCATTTAATATAGTTCCTCCACTCCAGTAAATGGCGAATTTTTCCACGTGCCAACAAGTACAATCTTTTTGGCGGGTACCGTTTACCATTTTGCTTCAAAGCCAATTTCGTATTAGCTATATGCAGTGTTTGTTCGCTTCCGCAAGCAAACACCTTTCTTCGTCTGCTGTTATTGCCGCACGTATACGTTGGAATGCCCATGCTTGCTACAACCAAGTTAACAGGCTTTAAAATGCAACTAGTTTGCAATCATCAACGTTGCACAACTTGGAAATTTAAATTAAATCATCGGTAGTCAGAGTACCAATGGGATTATATGACTGTCTACATACATAATTAGTCAGTATACAGGGTGTCCCAAAAACCACGCTAACTATTGAAAAAGCATATTGTTAGAATTTGGATGCCTTAACACTAAGCTGAACGCAAAGATGCGTAAAATATTGACAAGGGTGCATCTACTATAAATATTGACCTATTATCAAATTAAAGTATCCTTGTAAAGAGCACGATTTTCTGCTCTTGGGAATTTAAAGCTGCTTCTTAAACAGTTCCTTTGTGCATAAAATTTACTTATGTCAAGCTTTCATGCACTTGTGTGTTCAGCAGAGTGCTGAGGCATTCAAATTCTAACAATAAGTCATTTCAATAGTTTGCAGTTTTTTGTGACATCCTGTACAGCTAAGGTGTCCCCAAAAAACAACGCAACTATTAAAATGATGTATTGTTAGAATTTGCATGAATGCCTTAGCACTAAGCTGAACGCAAAGATGCGAAAAATATTGACAGGGTGCATAAATTATATTAAGAATATTGACTTATTAACAAATTAAAATATCTTTGTAAAGCCCGCCGCACACGAGCGCAATTTTGTCGCGCGTACTTGTTGTTCGTGACAAGTTTGATCGACAAAATTTCCTCGTGTGCGCGCGGGCAACATTTACGACATTTTCGTCATTCGTGACATGTAAATCAAATATCAAACATGATTGATATTTTTCGTCATTCGTGACAAAAAAATTCTCGTGTGAGGGGAGCAAACGACAAGCGCGCCTGAATAGGAAAATTTGCCCATACGTGCAACTTGCAGAATTAAAAACAAGACACGAGCTCGTGATTTGGATCCGCCATGTTGTTTTAAATTATGCAAGTTGCACGCATGCGCAAATTTTTCTATTTAGGCGCGCTTGTCGTTTGCTCGCCGCACACGAGAATTTTTTGTCACGAATGACGAAAAATATCAAACATGTTTGATATTTGGTTTACATGTCACGAATGACCAAAATGCCGTAAATGGTGCCCGCACACGAGGAAATTTTGTCGATCCAACTTGTCACGAATAACCAGTACGCGCGAAAAGTGCGCTCGTGTGCGGTGGGCTTAAAGCGGGTGATTTCAGAGTCTGCTCTTGAGAATTTAAAGCAGCTTCTTAAACAGTTTCTTTATGCATAAAACTTACTAATGTCAATTTTATGCACTTGTGGGTTCAGCAGAGTGCTGAGACATTCACATTCTAACAAAACGTTATTTCAATAGTTTGTTTTTCTTGGAACACCCTGTATAATTAACTATAGCTATTTTAAATTGTTCGTTTATACCATTACTTATTCACAAACGTAATTATATTCATTACAGTACTATATAATAAGTACTATTGTCAACTTAACGGTTCATTTCACAAGTAAGATAAAATATTCTAACAATACTCAGTGGCGGCGGAAGAATTTTTTTGGGGTTGGACGTAAATTAAAAGTGCACTGTATACCGCAGTTTTTATGTTGGGCTAAATGCAAACACGGCACGTAAAACATGATTCAACTGACACAGCAGTAGTCAAGCAGTTAAAGTTAGGAGAGCTGAATCAGTGGCGGAAATTTCGGTGGAGCGGGAGGGGCGTACGTCCGCCACGCCACCTTCGTGGAAAATGACGAATTTTCGGAAATTTTGACCTATAAAAGGGCTAAAAACAGCCTTTTCGAGTGCAAGTGAGGGGTTTGTCGGAAATTTGAAAGTTTTGTCGGAAATTTAGAATGCTTCGCCCCCCCCCCCGGAAAAAGTGAATTTCTGCCACTGAGCTGAATAATAGACGATCCGGAAAAAATAAGACTCGAAAATTCCATTCTCTGCACATTAAAGAATTTGGGCGACAAAAATGATGAAAAAGATAGTTTCACAATCGGTTTTGGTCAGTTTGGATAACTTAGTGTCATGGCCAAGACTAAAATCAGCAGCAAATTAGCATAGTTGAACTACCTTTCGATGGAGAAAACTCAGGCTTTAAACTAAACAAGACGTTGTTAGCACCTAATGTATTTCTAGAGCTGCTTAGCTCCCTGGAAAGTGTTGCAGGTTCAGAAGTCCTCCCTCCCTCCCTCCCATCCATCCATATCCATCCATATCCATCCATCCAGTTAAATTCACGAAATGCTTCACTGACCACAATGTTTAGTAATTTCGTTCACGTTACCGTTTAGCCGGCTATCAAGAATCTTCGTTTTTCTGTTTTATTTTGAAAGAGTATTTTTGGGGGTGTGGGTAGGAGGGGAACTTATCCTCCAGCCTCGCCTGTTCCGCCGCCCATGAGTTAATACCAACTATTTTTACCAATTATAGTTATCAGCGCGGAATCAATTAATCAAACATTTAATAATCAATCAAAAACTAATGTCAAAAATGGCCGAATGTTTCAATATCTCTTGAATCAAGATTGTTTTTTGACTACATACAGCTACAACATGCATTATGACAACAAATGGGTTAACATGTAACTATAACTTCTGATAGCTTGTTCACATGACAGTTCGGAAAATTATTGCGAAGTCACTGGACAAGTATGTATCCAAATGCTGCAATGTTGTTTTGAAGGTTACCGCAAGCATGTATACTTCCGCACGCCTTCTTGTGCACAAGACCATAACATCCAGGTATTGAAATACCAAAGCCAATACACGAGTTGCATGTCTTGCAGTCGTTTTCATCATTAGCGACTAGTCCAATCCGTATATACATCTTTCTAGATTCTCGCCCACGAATATTAAACCCTTGAATATTACAATTTTCTTGTAGTGATGAACCATAGATAAGTGATTGCCATTTTGACTTTGTAATGTTTGTTGCTGTGAAGTTGTCTTCTGCGATTACGTCGAATAGCGAGCTTGCTTCGTGGTCAATCAGAATCCATTTTGTATCAGTTTCTGTTCCTCTTTGGACTTTCATTCCGAGGCATATTTTTTTAAATGCCGTGTTCCAGTAAGAGGGTAGTTTTGTTTGTTTGTCTGTCAAACCCTCAAGCCCGTTTTCAACTTCGTAGGTAGATTTGTTGCTCCAGTAAAGGGAATCATTTTTGAAGGTATCCTTTAAAGAAAAATGTTTGCAAATATAGACATAAACAAGGATAGTCATCTGTGAATCAACATAATAATACTGCAACGGAGTTGCTGCTTACTGGAAATTTGTCTTGCGAACGTACTGTACATGGTGCCAAAGTGCTCCGAACAAGGCGCTTATATATAGGGCGGTGCAACCAGTTCGTGCGCGCGTAGCCTGAGGCGAGCACTTTTGTGGACAAAATTGTAGAAAAGCATATTCTGATTTGCCAAGCTCTCATGGCCATTTTCTCAACTTTTTTAGTGTAAATACAAACTAACCAAATATATTTGCACAACATCATTCTGTGTACGTAATTAGTTTGCAGTTAGCAAAATTCTGCTCGGTCACAAGAATTTATTATTGATCGGTAATGTGAATGATAATATTTATTACTTCAGTGGAGGCAAAATTTCCAATGGGAATATCGATTAACTGCCAACACCTACAAATTGTTGAATTGAATTATCTGAATTAAAACCAAACGCGAATTTGAAGATACTTCAAAAAGTCACGTAAATAAATATCTGGATAATGTGCTCTATCGAATCGTAGCGGGTAATTTAAAAATAAACAACAATCCAACAGCTTATATATAAATGCAAACCGATTGGTTTTTGACAGCGGTCATGGCTGGAAACAATTGTTGGTGGTTAGGATCCGAGCGAGCATGCCCTCGAATATAGTGAACGGATCTGACAGTTTTTATTGAGAAAGTGGAGAGTTTTGCGTAATCCGCGTATATGCAATATGTTTAACCAAAGTAAATATGCGCGCGTACACACTAAAATAATAACTTGGCAAAGCTATACCTTACGTAAACATGCACCCACTCCATTAAAGGAGGCCTACCCCTGCCCTATATTAAAGCTCGTTATGGCAACTTTATGCCCTAAAAAGATAATAAAATGCAGAATTGATTCTTATAGGATATCACGGCTGAAATTTGATCCTTTTTGAGGCCTCTTTCTAGGACGTTTAGCCCAAAATAGCGAAGACGTTAGTATGATTAGCTTGTTATTCTTTTGCGACATTGTGTGGATTAAGTTCTGATGGATTCGGTTAATATTTTGGCAATTCCCTTTGTAACAGCTCACTTGATAAAAACTCTAATTTTAGTAAATATTCCGAGTGCATTGTTGGCTAACACTTCAATTGCCGCCACCGTAATTTTTTCAGAAGATATAGGTGATAAGTATTATTTTACATTTCATTTAAAGTAAAACCTTTTTGAATTGATTCTTGCGCGCAGTCCTTTTTCCAATCTGTTGTAGAAGCTAAATATTTTTTCAATCATACCACATGACGACCCGCACGCCCATAAATTGAATTATCTTGAAGGTGTTAGTTACCACAGCATTATTAGTCGAGGTGGTAAGAGTGGTGACAGGTATAATGAATTTATAGTGAAATAATTTATGCGTGCATGAAATTTAACCCCATAGATATGATGTAGCAAATAACTAACTGAGCTAACATACAAACCAGGTTGTCATCACCAATTCATAATAATGTTAGCAGACAATGCCGCGCAAAGTTCAAATTGCGCCAAAATGGTCTGAAGAAGAGTGCATTCTGCTTGACAATCGTGTGTATGGATTCAGGATGGAGATCAAGATCGAACAAACTGGCAATATTTTGATGGCTGCTTATTAAAGAATAAAGATTAAAGATTAATGCGAAGTATTTTCAATCAGTAAGGTTAGGTAATAGTCAAAAGGCTATAGCCTATAGGTATTGCAGCACGCATCAGTTATTATTTCTTTAGTATACAGTATGCTAGATACCACGGCTTTCAAGCTGGGCTATCACAACCGCGAGTTGATTGTACTATATTCGTTATTTAAATATTTTGATACAAGGTAGCTCAAGACAAATAATATTTATTTACATATATATACCGGGTGGCGCAAAAAAAGTTCAGGCGTTTGATCTACCATAGCGAAAAAACTATAAGAGCTATACATCGCTCAAATAAATGTATAGCTGTATTCATAAAAGGCTAACTTAAATTTTGATAGGTTATACATGAGATATCACGAAATATTGACTGAGATATCAGCGTTCAAATTAAACTTGCGTAAGCATTTTCAAAAGAATCGAAAATTAGTCTAAAATGGCCCATTGAACTAAATTTGATATCATTCTCATTAGACATTACGCTGGGCATCGCCAGATTATTTCCCGGACGAGCTAGTGATGAGTAAACGCGGAGATGAGCCGTACCCCTGGCTTTCAGATTTGACAATTATATCCAATATTTTTGTGGCTATACCTATAGAGTATAATTGAAATATCAAATTGGGAGTATGCCACATCGACAGCGCTAGGTTTTGGAATAATATCTAGAATACTTTTTGTGAAAACTCTTGTGTCAGAAAGATGTCCCATCTTTTGCTGACAGGTTATGAAGATGTCCCATCTTTTCTTAACCAGCGGAAGCTTAAAAGGAGTCTATAATATTATTCTTTACACCACGCTAAGTTAGAATAAAGCGGCGCATGCAGCGATAGCGCTAGGTTTTGGAATAATATCCAGAATACTTTTAGTGAAAACTTTTGTGTCAGAAAGATGTCCCATCTTTTGCTGACAGGTTATGAAGATGTCCCATATTTTCTTAACCAGTGGAAGCTTAAAAGGAGTCTATAATATTATTCTTTACATCAGGCTATTAAAGTTAGAGTAAGGCGATGCAGCTTGCGCTATAGGTTTTGGAATAATATCTAGAATACTTTTAGTGAAAACTCTTGTGTCAGAAAGATGTCCCATCTTTTGCTGACAGGTTATGAAGATGTCCCATCTTTTCTTAACCAGTGGAAGCTTAAAAGGAGTATACGTCTTATATTATTCTTTACATCAGGCTAAGTTAGAGTAAAACGGTGCATGGATGCATGCAGCGACAGCGCTAGGTTTGGGAATAATTTCTAGAATACTTTTAGTGGAAACTCTTGTGTCAGAAAGATGTCCCATCTTTTGCTGACAGGTTATGAAGATGTCTCATCTTTTCTTAACCAGCGGAAGCTTAAAAGGAGTCTATAATATTATTCTTTACATCACGCTAAGTTAGAGTAAAGCGGCGCATGCAGCGATAGCGCTAGGTTTTGGAATAATATCTAGAATACTTTTAGTGAAAACTCTTGTGTCAGAAAGATGTCCCATCTTTTGCTGACAGGTTATGAAGATGTCCCATCTTTTCTTAACCAGTGGAAGCTTAAAAGGAGTCTTATATTATTCTTTACATCACGCTAAGTTAGAGTAAAACGGTGCATGGATGCATGCAGCGATAGCGCTAGGTTTGGGAATAATTTCTAGAATACTTTTAGTGGAAACTCTTGTGTCAGAAAGATGTCCCATCTTTTGCTGACAGGTTATGAAGATGTCTCATCTTTTCTTAACCAGCGGAAGCTTAAAAGGAGTCTATAATATTATTCTTTACATCACGCTAAGTTAGAGTAAAGCGGCGCATGCAGCGATATAGCGCTAGGTTTTGGAATAATATCTAGAATACTTTTAGTGAAAACTCTTGTGTCAGAAAGATGTCCCATCTTTTGCTGACAGGTTATGAAGATGTCCCATCTTTTCTTAACCAGTGGAAGCTTAAAAGGAATCTTATATTATTCTTTACATCACGCTAAGTTAGAGTAAGGCGATGCAGCTTGCGCTATAGTTTTGGAATAATATCTAGAATACTTTTAGTGAAAACTCTTGTGTCAGAAAGATGTCCCATCTTTTGCTGACAGGTTATGAAGATGTCCCATCTTTTCTTAACCAGTGGAAGCTTAAAAGGAGTCTTATATTATTCTTTACATCACGCTAAGTTAGAGTAAAACGGTGCATGGATGCATGCAGCGATAGCGCTAGGTTTGGGAATAATATCTAGAATACTTTTAGTGGAAACTCTTGTGTCAGAAAGATGTCCCATCTTTTGCTGACAGGTTATGAATATGTCCCATCTTTTCTTAACCAGTGGAAGCTTAAAAGGAGTCTTATATTATTCTTTGCCTCACAACGCAGGCGCGGGCATAGGTTCCGTAGATTAGCTATAAGACAATGGTGTCAATGCAGCTATTGTTTTTGGAATAATATATACATTTGATATATACGTTGGTGAAAACGTTTGTACCAGATTCATGTGCGCACTAGGGCCTATAGGGAAAGGCGGTATAATTATATAACTTCATAAGTCAGTTTCTTTATTATTGCCTATAGAAAACTTACGCCTTTGAAGCCGGACTTTTATACTGCCAAGATCTAAAACGGCAAATATGTTCCGCGGTCTTGACATGGAATTATCGTGCTATTCTCTAAGATACCAAGAACGTTTTGTTTTACAACACACAAGTCTTAATATTATTACATATTATACGCAGCCTTATTACACATTGTACGCTATATAGTATAGCCTGGCCCTAGGTGACTTGTCAACAGTCAGCATTGTGACATATTTGTACACTTTTATTTTAATGCATAACAGAAAATTAACTTATTACTTGCTTGGTTTCACACAGCGTCTAACCAACTGAACCTGGATTGATGACATCTTATAGCGGTAATTAATAATGCGATTAGCGTTGCTCGCTTCCTGAAGTTGCAAACTCAGTTTGCAGATCCCGCTGTTTTTCAAAACGTGCGGGTCGTCATGCTGTTGTTTTAAATGTCAGAAACTATTATTAGCTCATGACTCCATGTACAGACGTCTAATCCCACGTCTTTAATAAATCCACACATTTTACAGCCTTAATTAATTATTTCACTTTAAATTGTTCTTAAAAGTAATGAACTGTATGAATAGCAGATATTTAGCTCCAGATAAAAAGAAACATTTTTGTATGATTGTTATCAGTTGCCGTGATTCGGGATATAAATGGTTCTCGTCCTCTTAATTTATTTAGAAGTCACTAGTTAAATGTAAATATTATATCTGAAGCAGGCATATAATTTCAACTAGCACAATTTCGCACAATTGCTGTAAAAATGTCATTTCGAGA